GTCGCACGCGGGCGCGGAGGCCCCGCCCACCACAAGCCCCGCCCACCAGGGCCCCAGCTGAGCCCTGATCCCCGAACAGGGGCTGTGGCGGGCTGCCTTAGGGAATGATTTTCTGAGCGTAGTCTTGACACCAGGCTTCCCGCGGCCTGAGGTAGTGACGGGATTGAGTTGAGTCCGACCCTGGGCTGAAGGACAGCCGTCTCGTTCATCAAATGTCCTAGCATTCAAATGATGCTAGGACGGCATTTCTCCAACTTTTTTGGCTTCAGGACTCTTGCTTTTGTTTTTGTGGGTTATGTCTATCAGCACTTACCTCATTACAAGTGCAAACAACCAAAAGCTAATTAGTCAACTTAGTAATGATAAACCTATCATATTTTTATGGAAAAATAACTATCAGTTTACTTAAAAAACTCTTTCTGGCTTTATAGAAGTGCTAGACTTTTACATCTGTTTCTGCGTTCAGTTTGGTGCTGGATCGCGTGTCATGGAGCCACTGGGAAACTCCACTGTACACATTAGTGAGAATGAGAGGGAAAAAGTCAAATATCATTATTACAGAAATAGTTTCAACTTTGCAAAATTCTGTGAAAAACTCTTGGGGATTCCTAGCATGCCTTGGCCCACAATTTGTGAACTCCTGATCTAGTATATTAAAATGATTAGAATTTGCTGGCCATGTTTATAGTGCTGTGTGGGTAAACTTGGAGCACAGTGATTGTTTCCACTGAAAGTGCTGTATCACAGCTGTGATTTTCTTTTTGATATTTCTTGACATCTGACTTCACTTCCTCCTTATTCTCTTCCTGACACTATATTCTTTGCTTTGATAAATGGTGAAGCAACACCAATAAAGGTCGCTTAGTTCCAAGAGGAAATGATTAACCAATGAACTCAACATTTCATCACAAAGGGCGGTAGATCCAAAAGGGTGTGCCATTTCACCAGAGCAAACTGCTGACTTTATATCACCTTGAAAGACTGAAGCCCTGGACTTGGCACAGGCTACGCACGCAATAAACAGATCAGGGGTAGAGTGCATTGTGAACAAAGCAATATTGAAAAGTACAAGGTGTGTTTTGGGAGAGTTAAGTGATCCAAATGGCTAGAAGGAGCAGGGCAGAGGGAGGGCTCAAGCAGAAGGGCTAGAGAGGAGGAATGAGCTTGGCCAGGGGAGCAGGAGTCCATTCTAGGGAGTTCCGACGGCAAGGCTGTGGAGTCTGAATTCCATCCTGGGCCCTAGGGAGCTGGTGACCAAGACTTCAGGGGCAGAGGTTGTGTAGGGCCATACAGAGGCAGCTGATGCAAGGAATCAAAAGGGACAGGTAGGGGTTACAGGTACTGGGGGCTGAGGCCCTGGAGCAGGACTGTGGGAGCTGGGTCTGAGAAGCAGTGGTAGAATAGTCTAGATTCAGCATTTGCTTGCTTGCATGTGGGGCCTACAGCAGCAGGAGAAGGTGTGTCACCTCCATACAGAGACATTTACTGAGTCTTACTGTCTGCAGAACTGTGGGCTGCCACCTGAGTGACAGAGTGGTTCCAAAGCTGAAATTCTGCTTTCAGCTTTATAAATAAATAAATAAATAAATAAATAAATAAATAAATAAATAAATAAATAGAGTGTGAGAATGGGTGTCAGTCTAGTAGCAGAGACAGGTAGGCAATCTGCTAGGCATACAAGGCAGAATAGAGCAAAATGCTGGAGATTTAAGGAAGATGGCTTTGTTTCTCCCTGAAGGGTCCCACTGATTATCTGGAAGGCAACAGACTTACTTACGTAGCCCCGTTAGTGACAAGCAGCTCCAATCTAGTCCCATCAAAGGAGCTAGGAGTGTGTGGAGTGGTGGTTTTCTTAGCTATTGACTTCAGCTTTAGAAGGAATCACCTTCCAGGGGGTTCCCATGAATGATCTTGCAGACACCCCACTCTTTGGCAGGCCCCAAAGCAAGAGCACATTGCTGCCCTGCTCTGTGTTTCCTTGGCCACGCATGCTCCTTGACCAGAACACATCTTGCCTGCCCTGTATTTGGTTGTTTGTCCGTCTGAACCCTCTTGACAGGCATGAACCATTTCTAACTTGGATTTCTGGTCCCAGCTCCTAGCACAGCGCTGGGAGGGCCATTTGGTGAGGAGGGGAATTAGCAATGGATTTTGAGTGTCAGGTCTGCTCAGGTTCCAGACAGGAGCTTAGTAGTGGTTTTTGGTCATAATTCTTGAGAATGAATGTGGGTTGCCCGCTATTCATACAGGTAAAGAACAGTTCCTAGTCATGGGTCATGGGCAGAGTCATGACCCCAAACCATCCGAGTGCATAGAGGCCTCAAAAAGTTCTAAGACTCTGGGTGATACAGGAAAGCCATAAAATCATTACAGTGGTGATTGTGTGTATTTACAGCCCCTTTCTTCTGTGTGATCTGCAGATGAACTCTCATGACATCGAGACTTCAGAAGAGTCGTTGCCCTTAATGCTTAAACTGGACTATGAATTTCAGCGTGGCAGATAAACGCACACCAATGAGTCTTTTCTGCTGATCCAGGATCTGGGTTCTACGGAGTGGGGGGTGCTTGGGGCTGGGTATGGAAGGGAAGGGGGAGCTTCACAATGCATGAGTGTGAGCATGGGCACATGTGTGTCCCCAAGCATAAGCCAAAACAAGCCTGGAGGTCTGTGGAGTAAGGATGGTGGTAACAGGAAAAGGGACTCTAAGTACCAATTCTAAGTACCAGAATGAGACGGGATCCTGTGAATATGCCCCACAGGGCATCAAAGCTTTAAAATTAGCAGTTTTTCCGTGACTAGAGAGATCCCCAAGTACGGGTGGCCAGTGATGTCCATGGTTGAAATATTGGGCTCTCTGCTTTCATCCTGGGATTGTATAGAATAACAATTTATCCCAAAATGAAAGAGTGAGGTGCTCTGTTCTGTGCTCCGATTCGCCCTTTCTTGGGGAGAGGCATTTCTCTTTGGCAACTAACATACTTGCCCCTGACCCATCTCCTGCCCTTTGGAGCACTGGCCTGTGCTGAGTATCGCTCTGTGAGTATATTCTCCTTAATCCCAAAGTCCTGCCATCTGCCTGCCCTCCGGTTATGTTGATCGTGTAATGACTGTGGGCATCACAGCCGTGCTTCTGACTTCTGGCTGGTTATAAATTTCCGTCTCAGCCTTAACATGGTGGTCTGGGCCCTGCTAGAAGCTGCAGGGAGTTGTGGGTAAGAGGCAGGGCCTTTGGGCTCTAACACCTGGGGCCTGGGTCTCAGCTCTGCCACTTAATAAAAGCAGGCCTCTGGCAAATCACGTGTCTCTGGGAAGCTCAGTGCCTTTGTTTGTAAATGGCAATAACAGCATTTGCCTTCACAGCCTAATTCCAGGGGTAACGTAAGCCATGCGGTAATGTAAGCCATGCTGTAACGTGCTTAGCTCCATGCCTGGCACAGAGTGCAAGAGCAAGAAATACATGTTCTTCTTCATTGCCTTTTGTTCATCTTTCTCCCTTTGTCTTCAACCAGTCATCAGAATTCCCCAAAGTGTTTTCTTTCCCCTGGACCTTGGGCCTGTGTGATGAGTACAGTTTAGCTTTTATTGCTTCAATTATTCTGGTTTCTTATTTACAGAGTGTTCTCTCACTGTCTCCCTGAATGAGTACAGACCTGTCCTGAGAAAGGCCTTCTGTGCCCACGGAATGTAGCTGGCCTCTTTCCCCGCCATTGTCTGTTCCGGCAGCATTCATTTCCTTCTTAGCCTGCTAAGACACAACCTCTGATGTGTCCGTTTACCTGTTTGAATCGTTAGTCTGTCTCTCTAGATGGAGCATGAATTTGGGGGTGGGGGCTGGGGGTAGGGGTGGGGACTGCATCTCTGGGGGTCTCTGCTGGAGCCTCCAGGCCCTGCACTGTGCTGGGATCAACAGATACCAGCTGGATGAATGATTTAAAACACGATGTGCTGCTTGGGCAGAACCTTGAGTGAGCTACAGAGAAGGATGTACTTAAAGGCTGCTTGCAACATCATGTTTTTTTCTTTCTGAAAGGCATATTCAGCTTTCAATTTCATTTCTGAAAAGGAGTTCTGCTTTGTTATCACAAAGCCTCCTTTCCTTTTGGATAATACTCTCTTGGTCCATGGAAATACTAATCTAATGGATTCAAAGGTGTTGGAGATGCTTTGCCTTTTCTGTTTACTCAGGAATGTGATTTCATCAAAACAGCATGGTATTGGCACAAAAGCAGACACATAGATCAAGGCAACAGCGCAGAAAGCCTAGAAATAAACCCACACAATTAATTAATCTTCAACAAAGGAGGAAAGACTATACAATGGGGAAAAGACAGCCTCTCCAGAAAGTGGTAGTGGGGTAGCTGGACAGCCGTGTATAAATCAATGAAGTTAGACCCCTCCCTCACACCATGCACC